GGGCGGGGCCTGAGGGCGGGGCCGACACACTAACAGTTATGCTGGCAGCCCGTGCTTTCTCAGAGATGCGGGAGGGTCGTCCTGGACGCTGCAGCCCCCAGCCTCTCCTCCAGCGTCTTGCAACCTGCAGTAACTGTGAGCTAAATAGACCTTTCCTCCCCTCATTTTGAGCGTCGGGTATTTGTCCCAGCAAGGAGAGAAGAGTAACTCATACAGTCGGGGACCACACCGTGTGTCAGGACCCAACCCGCATCAGGTGTGGCCTCTGTCGGAGCTCACATGCGTGTGGAAGCGACGGCGGAGCCTCCGCACGAGCGAGGAAAGGAAAGGGTGAGTGTGTGGACAGGCAGCTCGGGCGCGGCCCAGCGCCCCTGGGATTTCCGCTCAGTCCTAGTATCCGTGCTGCCGAAGTGAGCACCCCGCTCCTCCCGCGTGGAGTTCTGTTTGCAGCGGGCAGGGGTCCTCTGTTGAAGGGGCAACTCTAGGCGCCGGGTGAGACAAGCCCTGCGGCCCGCACCTGCAGAGCTGCGTGGATGGTGAGCTTCTGGGGTGCCCGTGGCCCTGCGTCCCCGCCGGCGGGATTTGGCCCGGCCGCAGGGCCAGCAGCAGCTGCCCAGCACCCTGCTGCTCTGCGCGGGGCTCCTTGGGACTGACTCCAGCTTCACTGCTGTGGAAGTCGGGTGGAGGGGAGCGAGTGCTCCTGAAGGGCAGCGCAGGATGGAGCCGGCCTTGGGCGGGTCAGCTGCAGAGATGTGGCAGGAATGAAGGCACAGCAGTGTTCAAGGCTGAGTGTGGGGAGCACCTGCCAGTGCACCCCCCGTCAGGGCCACCTCAGCCCCCATCTCTCAAGACTTGTCCCTTTAAAATTTTTTTTTCTGTATTTTTTTAGGGAGGGATCTATTGGGTGTTCAGGGTCTCACTACTAGATCAGACTGTAGTGACCCGCCTGTTTACAGCCTCCCAAGAACTGGGATTACAGGCTTGCAACACCACGCCCAGTCTCTATTGCCATCTCAGCGCACTGCAGAGGCAGAACCACCACAGCATGGCCCCTGTGCCTGCTTGCAGGCTCTTTAATCCGCTGAGCTATTTGGCCAGCCCTAAATTATTATTTATTTATTTCTCCATTATTATTTACTGGGAATTGAACCCTAGGCCATGGCACCAAGCTAACTCCCTTGCCATTGTTAGTTTGAATTTTGAGGCAGGGCCTGGCTAAGTTGCTAAATTCCTCAGGTTTGGCATTCCTCAGCCTCCCAGAGCGCTGGAACACAGGCGTGGGCTCTCATACCGGGTGTGGGCTCTCTGTGGCCCGGATGTGCACACTCTGCTGACTCCTTCCCACTGGGCTGACCGCTCCTGGGGTGGGAAGAGCCCGAGGCCATGGTTGCTCCCCGAGCACCCTGGTGTCTCATTGCCTCCTCTGTGGGAGAGGGTGGGGTGGGGTAGAGGGGTAGAGGAGGTGTCTGTCGAGCTCTGGGAGGAAGAGTCGATGACTTCTGTGTTTCTTTTCCTTTCTTCCATGG